GATCATGAAGCCGCTCAGACTCTGAACCTTCAGGAGAAAAGGGGTAATTGGTTAACACTGGGCACTTGAGGTTATATGAGTAGGTAGGCACACTGAGGACCAGCATGCACCTGGGTGGGCCAATGGTTTTTTACCAGTGCAAAGAGAGGCAGCAGCAGCCATGGTTTTTGTTTGTTTTATTTAGTTGCAATAAATCCACACAAAACTGCAAGATTGGAATGGACATTCATCTTCCTTTGCCTGCGTTAAACCACATCCCTGTGGTGCATCAGTGGCCTTTTGATTAGGTTTGGTTTAAAGTTTAATTTGTTTTTTATGGACAAATGGTCCCTACAATGATAAAGTGTGTGAAATGTAAATAATAATAATTAACTGTTCTGTGTTAATAAATGTTCATACAGTATTGTAATATAACCTGTGTGTCTGTTTCTTCATGAGGATGATGAGCAGGAGTCGTTGCTGGTTCTTTCTCTCTCGTGGAGCTAAAAGCAGTTGGAGCTGTCGAACATGTTGCTGCAGGTGTGATCTGAACCAGCACACCTGAGCAGCTGCTGTTTTATAGTGGTTCTGTTCAGTATGAGAGCTGTAGCTGTAGGTTCTGTTCACCTCAGATCTACGTCCAGACGCAGCCGATACGAACATGCTCACTGTTTTCTATCAGTTCTACTGTCACTTGAATCAAAGTCACTGCGATGTGGAACTCACACATTTGTTTATGGAGGTCACATGATGTTTCTCTATGTGGGAGGAGCTTAATCTGTCATCTCTCCGATGAGTCACAGGATTCAGAAGTGAAAGTGTTCTGGGATTCAGGGGAATTCTCTGTTTTATAATATAGTTTTAACGTGTTTTAAAACTGACTATAAACAATTAAATTCAATGAATAATTATCTTAGAAAGAGGAAATGTTGTGTTAGAATAAACAAGCATCAGCCTCCATCTTTACTGAGCCGTCTGATCAGGTTTTATTTGATCCGTCAGCAGGTTCAAACCCGCCTCCTCCTCCTGTAACTCAACCATGAGACTGTTTTGAATTCAGATGTGGAGGAAGTATTTCAGCTGCTGTCGCCCTCAGGGCTGATGACGAGTCTCTGAATAATGCTCTGTCCTTCCTCGTTCTCTCTGGAGGTGGGTCTTTATTGTCTCTGTGTTGGCACCATTTTGTTTCCTGTTCCCTCTGGACTCTGTGCCGAGTTTCTGAGCAACAAGAACAACCGGTAACAGGTTTAATCAGCGGCGTTCTCAGATGAGTCATAATAATGATAATAACTTTATTTATGGAACTTTTCTTAATAGAGTTACAACATGGTAAAACCAGATAAAAGAAAAGTCCAAAGCACCTGAGCAACATAAAAACATCTCAAATCATCATTATGAAAAAAGATCTGACAGTAAAAGACGTAAAATATATAAAAACAATATCAATGAAAGACGTATCAGACGTCACCAGAGGCTGAGACAAAGAAACGTGTTTGAAGAAGAGATTTAAAGGAAGTTAAAGAGTCACAGCGTCTGATTTGAGTCAGGAGAGCATCACAAACCCCGACCCAGCAGGACTTCTGTTGGTGCGACACAAGCTATGTCAAGAAATCAGAGATAAAACGGGGGCAGAGCCATTTAAAGCCTTAAATATATTTATAAATATCATTTATATATGGAAATTACATGTTAAGTTTGTGTATGGGAGGATTTAATGTCAGAAAGGCCAGAGTCAGGAGGCCGCTAGGATCCGGGGGCTGTAGACGAATAAATAACTGGGTGTCATCAGCATAGAAATGATCATAGACGACAAAATGAAACAGTTCAGAGACTGAATATGAAATATAAATAAAACAGATAAAAACATTAATGCATTCAAAGCAGGAAGAGACATTTTACTGCATCAGAATCAGCTTATAGTTACTACTTTCAGTTATTAGTATATTATTATATTGATAATATAATGTTCTGGACCTCTTTGAATATGAACTGAATCCTCCTGCACTGTTTCAGCTCAGAACAAGAGGATTTATGTCGTGGGATGTTCAGTGTCTTGTCTCAGAGGTTTTCTACCTGTGGTCTGCCGCCCTCTGCTGGTCTGTGAGAGGTACTGCAGGTGTTCAATAATGTAGTTTCACTGTGGGAATCACTTTTTTTTTTAACACATGTCCATGTTTAAATTATTGTTTTAAGGATGATAAAATTCTGTCCTTGGTGGCCTGTGCTGTGCTAATGTGGGAATGTGTCCCTAATGTCACATGCAAATTCATCACGTACAGATAAGAATATATTAGTTTACTGATCAGTATCTAAGAAGAACTACAGCTGGTTTTTCCAGTGAAACACCTTCTACAGGCTCCAACAGTGTTTCTCTCACTTTTTCAGACCGACTTTATTGGAGAGGAGAGAGACAGGAAACACGTCCGATTGTTGGGGAATCGAACCAGAAAGTTGTTACTTATAACACATACATATATCATGTGTGACCTATCCACTCAGCTGTTTGATTACCTTGATCAATAACAGAGTTTTAATTATCAGGAAACCCTGAAGCTCACACACTGCAACAGCTGAGGCTTTTCTGTAGCATCACTCATCAATACGAACACTGGCTAGAGGTCATCAAACGCACCACGAGTCTCAGTCCATGATCTTATTCATTGTCAGTGTTTGAGTTAACAGACTGATAACTGGTGACATTCAGCTCAACCCTGAGCAGGCTAACTGTTAGCTTCATCACGTTTCCTTTCAAATGTCACCTTTACGACATAAACACTGTAAAACAACCAATTCATATGATGTTTGAATTTTATTGAAAACAACTCGTACAACTCAAAGCAAAAACAATACAGTAAAAGATGAAGCTATATTATCATATTATATTATATCATATGTTTGTGCAAATGTTTTATTTGTTTCTCTTTATATTTCCACATTTATTTATTTACTCTTTTACAGATTTATGCTTTTTTATGGCACTCCTGTGACTCCACAGAGGTCAGCTGGGTTTGAGATGTTTTAACTAGTTTACTCACTGACCAGCAGGGGTCACTGGTGGTCCACTGGTGACCCCTGGTGGATCACCATAGGTCCTCAGGCTGCGTCTTGCTCAGAGTGCTGGTCCCTGGGTCACCGTCAGTGTTCAGAGAAGAAACGTCTCATCAATATTTCACTCTTCAGACTCTGTAGAGTTTCGCAGCGCTGAGTGTTCAGGCTGTTTATAGTCTGCGGTCGCGGTTTCTGTCGGTCTGTTGTCTCTGCGCTGAGCAGAGGTGTGGATCGGTTAGCCACAACCAAACACGAACAAGTCAAATTTTCCATCAGAAGAACTGTGAAAGCCACAGAACCACACGAGAAAAACAACTGATGAGACCGGAGTTTATTGATCCTGCAGAGAAACCAGATCTCTGCTGCCGTAACAAAAAACATCAATTAAATATAAATAAAGTTAATGGCTTCATTCACCACAAAACAAATGGTGGGTATCATCTTATCTATAAATGAAAGTACGACAACACAAGTAACATGTTGCACAGTGAGGAGTGCACTGTAATTGACCAATTTCTTTTCATCTTAACTTTCTCTTTGTTTTCATTTTTCATTTTGCAGCTAAAAACAGTAAAAAAAAAAAAACTATGACAAATATCTAAAGTGTTATGAAAGCTGAATGTACCCTGGAGTGAGGACCAGCAACAGACCAGCAGGAGGACGTCAGTGGTGGGACTGGTGTGAAGGTGTGACGGTCGACCTCAGTGAAGAGTAGACGACCTCCGGCTCTGCTGGACACTCTGAACACAAACACACACTTCATCAATATGAGACAACCTCGACCCTGACCTTTACCTGAGCTCCACCCAGCAGGACCAACAGGACCGGCAGGAGCAGCAGGACCAACAGGACCAGCAGGAGCAGCAGGACCGGCAGGACCGGCAGGACCAACAGGACCAGCAGGAGCAGCAGGACCGGCAGGACCGGCAGGACCGGCAGGACCAGCAGGACCAACAGGAGCAGCAGGACCAACAGGACCAGCAGGATCTGTTCTTCAGACCAGTATCTGACCATCAAACTCTTGGATGACCTTGATTCTCTAAGAGTTGGTCATCGAAACGTTCCTCGGTTCCTCTGTTTATCTCCTAAATCTAAAGTCTCGACAAACTTTCTGCTATGAACTAAAAACTGTAGATTCACTGGATCGTGGTTTAATTTCACTCTGACTTTGTGACTTTGAGGTTTCGTCCAGACGAGCTGAAACCTACAAAGACTGCAGCAGCGTAATATCTTAGCAGCATTAAACTACTAAATACCTATATATATTATATGTATATTCGGAACAAGACATTTGAAGATGTTACCTTCAGTTCTGGAAAAAGCATGACAGGTATTCTTTCTCATTATTTTCCAATATTTTTTAGACAAAACAACTGATGGATTAATGGAGAAAGATTGCAGTTCCCAGAAGCCCAACACCCAGCTGTGTTTCCATGGTGCAGGATTCTCGTTTGGCTTCATCTAATCAACTGTTTCTATACTGTAAATGCATTTAATCATAGGAACACTAGAGAGAGCTGAGAGCTGTGGTTAGCTTAGCTTAGCATAAAGCCTGGAACCGGGGGGAACTGTTAGCTTGTCTCTGTGCCAAGTTCACACATAAAGAGCAGCTTTACCTCTGGTCCTGTTTGTTCTGATGAATATTCGTCCATAAGTGACGTGGTCTGTTCTCACAGCTGAGTAGACTGCAGCCGGATCGCTCTCTGGGAAACAGAGCACACGTCACATTACAATACTGCAGGAACTGCAGCTGATACCAGTACTGTCAGTTTATCCACTGCTGGAGTTAGGACCACGAGAAGGATGGTAAATATCTTATTACAGAGGTCAAGTAATGACTCTATAACTGTCAGTGGGTTTACAGTTGTTTTTTGCAGTGAACGACCAGAGACCAAATATAAGAGGAGGGTCTTCATCAGAAACAGGACGCTGGACGACCACAACACTGCTCACTGCTGTTACAACCCGCTGAAACATTTCACCACTAGGTCCAAAATAAATACAGAGATGAGAAACATCAGCAGCTTCAAACCACAGCTCAGAGGAATCAACAGGAGGAAGTTGTTCCTGTGGTTTTAGACGCAGTTTAAAAAAAAGAATAAAATGATCTTTAGAGACAATTCAAGCTGAGTCCTTCTGCTCTTTTATACCCTGCTTTACATCTTACTTTATAATCCGTCATGTGTTCTTGTTTGTGTCTATTAAACTAAAAAATAAACAGAAGAATTGAAAACTTAGCAAATTAATAAAATAATCTATTGAGAAATCCATAGATTAGGCTTAAAGTCATACTAAAGGAGAATCAGTGATTTAGTTTAAACTGCACTTTAATGGGGTAAAACCAGAAGAACCCAGTTCCTCTGTGAGAACTTCCTCCTGCTGTTGGTGATTTTCATGCAGCGTCATCGTCAGGTCGACTCTTTCATTCCTCCTAAACTTTGTTTGTGAATCAAAACCTGCAAAACTTCTGACGTCCCATCAGTTTGTGCTCATGCTAATCCGCTACTGTGAGGATGTTAGCATGTTAGCATGCTGCTAGCTTTTAGCTCCGAACTCAGCCTCTCAGCCTTGTGGCTGCAGACTGTTGTGCAGGCGTTGGATCGTGACGGAGACAGAGAAGAGCAGCTGTACCTCTCGTCTGTGATCTGGTGTCTGTGATGAATATTCGTCCATAAGTGACGTGGTCTGTTCTCACAGCTGAGTAGACTGCAGCCGGATCGCTCTCTGGGAAACAGAGCACACGTCACATTACAATACTGCAGGAACTGCAGCTGATACCAGTACTGTCAGTTTATCTACTGCTAACACTAGTGTAGAAACCTTTGTACAAATAATCAATAGTCAATAATAAAACTGATCTTTCATGTAGTATTCAAATAGTGTGTGTCATAATTTAAATAAATACTGAGATACATAGAAAATAAAATGTTGTAAATACAAAATGTAAAATGTAAGTTGAAGGGAAACAGTGTTTAATACTCAAGTTAGTTCACTGATGTCATTATTAATCACATTAAACAGTGAAACAGTATGTGTGCAGAGAAACACAAATCTGTGCAGTTATAAACTAGATGTCTTTCTTGGTTTTGTCTGTAACTGCAGCTCAGTGAAGCGTGTGGTGGTCCGCGCTCGGCTCTAGGGTTTCTATCAGAAACAGGAAACTGGACGACCACAGAGCTGGTAGCTTCTATTTACAGTTCCACTACAGGGTACAACACACCAGGTACAGCAGCACACCGTCTCAGCCAACACTGCCTGCATCTCAGTCTGACACATACCACTAAACAACTTAAAATGTCATTAAGTTGCTGTTGAAAAAATGCATCATTAAAATAAATCAAATGTAAATGCAGAGTAAAATAAAAGTCAGTCACATTAATTGAGTAAAACAACAATCATGTATGGTCCTTATAATCCATAATATCCTCATATAACAAAATGTCCTGATAATTCTCATTCTAACATAAAAACATTTTTTAAGATTAAACCTCTTTATTGCTTTTTCAGTTCATTCATATATTAAAGCCATAAAATATCTGCACATAAGGGACATAAGGTAACAACACAAATAAATAGATAAATAGATAAAATAAAATAAGAACATAAGTCTTCATCATAAAAAACAATTTTAACCTTTTGAAGAGATGAAACCAGAACAAGATGTCCTCACTTACTTTTTCTAAAATGTCCTAATTGTCTAAAAACATCTTCATATTCCACAATTATCCACCTTTCTAAAAATGTCCTCCTGTGGAAAATGGACTTAACTTTATAAAAGTCTCCACATCGCACACTGTCCCTTTAATTCATGACGGTGTCATCAGATTAAAAGAAGAAGACATGGTCCTCACAAAGATACAGGTCCAGTTTATCTACACTGGTGAGGACATGAGGCGCCGCCCTGACCTACGTTAACTGTTTAACTGTAAGCCGTTACTCTACACAACACGTCCAGGTAATTAAAATGTACAATAAATGCTCACCTCTGCTCCGTCTGATTGGCTGTTGTTGGTTACTTAATATTTTCACGTCGCTGTATGTGATGTCATCTGTGATGTCATCTTCTCTGACTTCTTCATCAGCTGGAAGGAACCAAAATTAACAATTATATAATTTACAATAAAAAACTTACAATTACATAATAAACTTAAACTTATATGAAATCATTAGAAATACAGTCCAAAAGGAAAGTAGAATATCTGATACAAATAACACATTAACAACTGAATTTACATATATAATACATTTAAAATAATAAGTCTGTGTCTCACCTGTAGTGTTGCTTTCATCAACGAAAATTATGACTAAATATCTTCGTCAACGAACCTTTATCACGTGACGAAAACGAGACGCAACGTAAATGCTGGTCATGTGACGATAACTATGATTAAATATATAATGCAATATTGTTGACGAATAAAAACGAGACTAAATGTGGTTTACAAAATAAAAACTCTGCTAAAATGTCTCTTCATTTTCGTTGACTAAAACGAGACGAGACGAAATGTTATAACGTCATTTTGACTCGTTTAGTCGAGTTATTATTATTTTGCAGTATTTCTGTTTCCTGTGTCTCACTTCATCAGGTCGCACTGCGCAGACGCATGTGACGTCACTTCCTCAATCCCCACTCGCGGGCGGCATTTAGAAGTTGCAGCTGCGGTTGAACGACAGTTTCAGAAACATAACTTGTGTGTCTGGAATGGATGTATTCTTGAGTCTATAAGGTAACAATAATATAATAATAAGATAACCTTGTTTGAACTGTGAAATGGGTTTGGCTAAAAGAAAATTTTGGTTTTGTCCGTACTACTAGGTACTTATACTATACTGGGTTAAATAGAATTGCATTACTAGAAAGAGACTAAAATAAAATGTTCATTGACTAAAACTAGACTAAAATGTCATCAGTTTTCATTGACTAAAACTAGACTAAAATAGTCATGGATGATTCTGACTAAAATAAGACTAAAATGCTCAGACTTTTAGTCGACTAAAACTTGACTAGACTAAAAAGAGTATGAACGTGACTAAAACTAATAAAAACTAAAATGACAGCTTGACACAAAGACTAGACTAAAACTAAAATTAAAACAGGCCGTCAAAAACACTACTCACCTGTAGGTTTCCTCTCAACACATCGTTTCACCAGTAACACCAGTAACATCAATACAAGCAGACCACAGACAGATGCAGCAGACAGCCACACAGGTAGAGGAGGAGGAGAGGTGGTGGATGAAGGAGGAGAGGTGGATGGAGGTCCAGCTGTGGTCGGTCGCTCTGAAACCAACAAAAATAATAATTAAAAATACTTAAATAAACAAAGAATAAAACATTAATTCCTTTCACTGTTCAGAAAGTTTCAAGATGAAACTAAGAAACTGGAGCTGATTCTGTTTTTGAACTTTAACCTCTGACCTCCTGACCTGTGACAGTGATCCAGCTGGGTGGAGACTCTCCATGACCTGTGATGTCACAGCTGTAGAGGCCTTCATCAGACTTGTCAACATGGTGGATGGTCATGTGACCTGTAGTCTCTTTGATGAGGGAGCCATCTTTATAGAAAGCAGCTGGGAGGTTGGAGGGAGGGGTCTTTGTTTTACAGTGCAGAGTGACATCATGTCCCTCCATCACAGGGAGGACAGGACTCTGCAGGATCACTGCTCCACCTCAACACACAGACAAACTACAGCATTTCATCCATTTACACACAGCTTCATCAACACTGACTCCACAGTCTGATCTTACCAGTGACAGTGATGCTGATGCTGTTACTGGTTGCTCCCTCTCTGGACTCACACCAGTAAACTCCACTGTCCTGTGGGACGATGTGAGTGATGTTACAGGAAGAACCAGCTGATTCTCCCCAGTCAGCTCCACACTGAGTCCTGGTTTCTCTGGTGGTGTTCCTCCTCAGCCTCCATCCAGCAGAGCTGTCGTCCTCCTCACAGCTCAGAGAGACAGAGTCTCCTTCAAACAGCTGAGAGCTGCTGGGACTCACCGTCAGACCAGCTGGAGGGAAATCAATGAATATTTGAGCAAAACATAAATTTACATGAATCTCAACTCAACAACAACAGTCATATAATCCTATTGGACGTTTTGGTCACACACATTTTGTTTCATGCTGCAGTCGGTGGGTGGTGTTCAGTACAAGGTGTTTATTTTTACCACTTAGTCGCATCATGTTTCTGCAGTGGATCAGATAAGTGACTGATCACTGATCACTGGATCAATTATCTGATGTTGATGAAGCCTCAGTGAAGAATTCAGGACACATTGATCATCTCTGTCCTCACAGCTGTTCAAGAGAAAACATCTGCAGTAGTTCCAACATGTACGATCATAGCGACAGTGGAATGTGCCGCTGCAGCGTTCATCTGATCCCTGATCAGTTCAACTACCGAATCAATCAGTGTGTGTGAGAGAGAGTATTGATTAGTGACGGAGCAGTGTGGAGGTTAATGTTGCTTCTGTAAAACCATGAGAAAAACTAAATGTCTTCACTTTCATTAACTGAGCTTCCTGTAAGAACTGTGTTTATTGAGACTCAGAAAAGAGAAACAGGAAGTGGACTGACCTGTGTTCGTGGTGCAGCAGAGCAGCGAAGTCAGATCTACAGACAGGACAGTTACTGTGAAGTTAAACATGAACACAAAGGGAAACCTCCTCCTCTACACTACATTCATACAGCCACAGAACTCAGAGATAAGACAATAATATAATGAGTCATGATGATAACAACAACACAACCACGTTGTTTCAGATCAGCAGGATAGAAAATATATTCAGTTGCTTCGTCGAGGTTTGAAATGAACAAACGTGTCTTTAATTTAATGATTTAAACAGTTGATTTCAGTAAATTCAAACGTCAGTGGATCAATGAGGTTTCCTTCACTCTGTTCTGACTCTGCAACAGATCTGACCGATCATCAGTGATGTTGATGAACTTCTGAATATCAGCTGCTATATAACCTTCATTTTCCTCCTGTTCAAGATCAATTTAAAACTAGAGCCATCTGAATGAAAACACTCGTTTACTTTACGTTCAGATGTTGTTTTCTTTTATTCCTGATGACGATGACGATGTTGTTGAAGCTCGTTCACATCAGTTAAAGTCACAGTTAATATGTTGATGATTTGTTGATATGAAACATGATGAAGAATCTTTTATCTCATATTTTCTTGTTTAAGAAGCTGGTTCATATTTAAACAGTTGAAATATGAATTTCCATGTTTCACTCTGGAGATTCGTCTCAATGCTGATCAGTATAATTTAAATCACATTGCATGACATCATACACTCATTTACAACTCAGCTGTAAATAAAATGATGGGAATGAAACAGTGTGTACTCACAGAACAGCCTCTGCAGAGATGTGAGGTCCATTGTTCCACCTGCTAAAATGAGCTCAACACTTGGTTTGGTCACAGCAGCTGATCCCACCTCCTTCCTGTCTGTTCATGTGTGTGATGATGTGGGGAGATACTACAATTTACAGATGTCCCCTCAACGTCTCACATGCAGAGTATCAGTACACACTTTACAGTTGTTCCCTCGGTGTGATAGTGTCTTTATGGAGGTTTAAGTGGGTTTATAGAGTCATTGCATTTTCCTCATGGGCCCCAATGGTTTGCCTGGTTTGCCTGGTTTTCCTGGTTTGCCTGTCCTGACGATGTGTCTCTGTCCACCAGAGGGCCGATCCCTCGGTGGCTGTGAAAGTGCTTTACCATAGATTCTCAGTGTCTGATGCCATTATTTAACCAGGCTGATAATAAATGAATAACTGAATTCATCAGTCAACTTACCGCTCTATTTTCATGTATTCATCATTTCCAGTCCCATTGCTGTTTTAAAATATATAAACTTACAACTTCCTTTAGATTTTTCACATTAAAAGTTTTTTGGCCTTTATTTTATTCTTAGACTTTTAGTCTGAAGAATCTGGATGAAGTGCTGAGTTTCATGAACTGCAACTGATCAAGAAATCAAAGAGGAATAAAAAAAGTATTCATCCTGTTAAAACGGACACTATACTTAATTTATCATGTGTTTTTTCATTCTGGTCATCGCTCGTTATTTCAGGTCAGTCAGTCACAGACATTCATGGCCCCACTGTTGCTGTCCAGCCAAAACCTCAGTCCTAATAGTCTCAGACCTCAGTTTGTTATTCCACACAGTGGATCATGGGATACTGTTGGACAGGCTAAAGCACTGGGCGGGTCCGTCTGGTGTTGTTCTTACTGTCACACTTGGAGCCTTCACTCCAACAAATATGATCTAGTGTGTGGGGTCCTTCAGGGCCCGATCCTGGGGCCCCTTCCTTTTAATTTATAGACGCTTCCCCTTGGCTATGTTATCAACAATGATAACATTAGCTATACTATAATTATGCCAATGACACTCAGCTTCTCATCTCATTATACACTGATGACCCCAACCCATAAACTCCCTGGTCAGCTGCTTGGAGGAAATCAACCACTGGAAAGCAGCAAAATTCCTTCAACTTAACAGTAACTCATACTTTTGTATGAGAAGATTCAATAGAAATACATTTTAATTTGATTTTATATATAATCATATAATCTATACTACTGTTAAAATGGGGAGGGGGGGTGTGTGTGTGTGTAAAACTCTCACGGTCAGTTTGGTCCCTGGTTTGGTGGCCTACAGGTCTGGTCATCAGTTAATCTGCTGTTATTTATTAAATAAATACTAGAAGTAGCAGAAGCTGCTGGTACTGTAAGGATCAGTGTTATCCTGCTGGCTGAGGACTGACTCTCTGCTGACACCTGCTGGTTTAAACCAACCACTACCTCCAGACTGAAACATGAAGCATCAACATGAAGAACCAGAAGCTGCAGTTCCTCTAACGACCACTAGAGTCTGGCTCCAACAGTGAGTCAGTCCCCATAGACTCCCATGTTGTAATGTCCAACTTTACAGCAGAAATAAACATGTTTACAGCCTGGTACAAAAACTGTTTTGGTCTCTAGAGCTAATTTCCTCCTTCATGACACCTGTTTATATAACTCACCTGTTTATAGAACTCACCTGTTTATATAACTCACCTGTTTACATTTTATTAAGGACTAAAGTTATGGAGGATTGAGGGCGTGGCCTCTTTGAGTGACAGGTGGGTGAGAGCTTGCTACAAGCTGGCATGAACTGAAGTCTGCTCAACATGCGCCCCTCCTCTTTGACCATATTTGGATACACTGTTGTTCCTATGGAGTCATGTACTGACAAGACGCCCAGGGGTCTCCAGAAGCAGCAGACAGGTGCAGCCAGAAGTGCTGTTCAGAGTGCAGGAGGACTTCCCTTTGGCCTCAAGGATAAAATATTAAAATGAACATATCTGTGTGACGCTTTCTTTGTTAAAGACATGAATTTGATACCAAGAACTTTCCAAATCACAGAAGCTACAGTTTATTCAATGAAGGTAAAATGTGTCACATTGCCGTGCATTGTTAGCATTAGCATTGTTAGCATCATACACGTTGTGGTGCTACAGAAACGCCCCGAATTACAAATCATATTCTCCAGACATAAAGGAACAACAATCGCCTCGTCATAATTTTTATATTTTTTTCAGTGAAAACGAAATGCAAAAACCTCTGCAGCCTGTCGTGGAAATTTTCTGCTCTTGGTGAAGAATGGAATAGAGACTTCCGTCGGCCGACAAGGTTTTTTTTTCTTTGCAAAGAAAAGGTCAATCAACATGCGAGCGGTTCAAAATGAAGAAAGACCCCGAGCATGGGGAACCTTGAAGATTTATACCTGAGGGAGAGGCCCACCCCTGGGGTGTGTTTCACGTCCTTTGCCTGCTGTGGGGTCGGCCTCTTACCTATGGTGTGCTTTCACACTCTTTTGTCTTTCACAGGTATCGGCACCGACCCCCTGAAGTGTGGAGTTAAGAGGTCTAGTCAACACAATTTAAAATACAAAAGGGTTTGAACATTGATGAGAAAGTGAGAGGTTGGGTGTCTCAGGTAGTTGAAATGCAAAGGAATTCAATTTACAATTACAATTAAAAGTCTGATATCTTGGTGAGAAGGTGGGAGGTTGGGTATCTTACAAAGAAGTTGAAATTACAATTACAAGCCCTATAAAAGTGTATGAGCCACATAAATGAAATACCAACAGGCATCAAACATCATCGAACTGTTTTTAACAGTGAAGCTGCATCTTCCTCTGTACTTTGCTTCAACCTGCAGGTCAGGTGTCTCAGCTGCCACGTCCTGTATTAGAACAAAATGCGTCCTGTATTAAATCAACGCAATGTCCGTGTTGATTGTTGTTGTTGTATTTTCGTTCATATTATGTCCTCAAAGTGCTGTGAAGAATATGACGTCAGGTGACCTACAAGTTTATGGATTAGCAGCAGACTGACGAGCTGTGAACCAGGTGGTTTACCTGGAGGAGTGCGCGTCATTAACTGCAGCGCTGTGGGTTAGAGTCCGACCTGTGGCCCTGTACTGCGTGTCATCCCGTCTTCTCTAAACCTGTGAATCAGCATCAGGCTACATCTCTTGTTACCCTTGATATTCAGTCATTTTGGGTCATAAGCACATAAAGGAATGTGTACTGGCTTTTTAAATTCTCACAAAATCACGTCACCACATCACATCACATAAAAGGTGAAACCCTACTCCGCTCTGATGAAGCAGGTAAAAACATCTGTCACATCTGCAGCTTCATGTTGCAGCCAGTCTGGATCTTCAGCTGCTGCTCACCTACATCACTCTGTCCTTTCAGGTTCAGTCCTTTTCATATTCTTGTAAATCACGTGACTCCTCCCTCAGCTGTGTCACAGGTGGGCGTGGCGTCAGAGTCAAAGGGAGCTGCCCACAGAACATTGTACCGCGGTTGTCTTCGGTCACAGTCCACTTACTGCCTTTCAGCTGCTTCACACTGCCTTCATCGATTCTCCAGGAAGCTGGCGGTTATTAACCAGCAGAAGAAGAAGATGTTTTCTTCAGTGCTGACCGTCTGTGTGTGTCTCCTCACCTGTCTCCTGCCATGTGTGTCAGGTAAGCAGTGTGTGAGCGGATATATGGAGGAAAGAGAAAGTAGTTGAGCTTGTGGGGAAGTTACTGTAAAGACTCGGTCTCTCTGTGTGTGACGGAGTCTCTGAACATGGCGGAGCTTCACTTCCTCTTGTTCCAGTCGATATCAAAGCGAACATCAAGTGTGTTTCAGAGGTTTATGTCAGAGAGGAAGACCAGATCCTGGTCTGGGATCAGATGGGTCACTGAGGACGAGCTTTAGGCTCCTGGTGTCATGGTGTGTTCAGGTGTAGTGGGACAGGGGCGCTGCCTCGTGTGATGGCGGAGTTACCGTCTCTTCCTGGTTAGCGGTGACGGTGGATCAGATCACGGCTGCTGCTCAGATACGTCACATCATTTCACTCAGTCTGAACATAAAAGAAACGGACTTTCCCGCTCAGCCCTGGTTGTTCCACACTACCTACAACCAGGTGGTCAAATCTGACCCATGTCTGAATTCATTAACAAGCACTGAAACAACACTAACGATCATCCAGGGAGATGTTTCATCTGCTCAGTAACTTATCATTCACCCACAACCATAAAACTGTGTATATATATATATATATGCTTAATGTTCAATGTGCTGAAGGCCACATGTCACTCTCAGAGGACCAGCTGTGTTTACTGAACATTTCTTCTCAGTCTGACACCAAGTCAAAACAAATGGCAGATCTACTCCTTCATCTCTTTAAAGTTGTGTTTTGGCCATATTTAAATAGACAGGGGCAGTGAGAGAGAGACAGGAGAGCTGGGGAGGGAGATGATCACCTGCAGGAAACGGCTTGATCCAGGTTCAAACCCAGGCGGCTGCAGGCAGGACTGAACCTCAGTCCTTCTTTTAAACTGCTGTTTATCAATGTTTCCATTTTAACATCCTGTTTATTGCATCATCTTAATGACCTTATGAGTTAAATTATCAGGAATGTCTCATTAAATCATATAAAACATACAAAATAAACGTCTCTCAGACAGATACAAGAGAACAAGCCAATGAAAACCTTTGTCCCCAGGTGTCTCTGTTTTCCTCATGTGAAATTACAGAAGTGTTTGTGTCACACAGCTGATCTCTGATCATCAGGTCATGTGACTACAGATGTGTGTAAACAGATCAACTGCAGCTCAGATCTTTGCAGCACATCTGGAGTTCATGTTTTTACAGGTTAAGTTTCTTCATCATCATCATCATCATCATCACCAGTTAGCTCAGATCATGGCGGTTCTGTGGTGAACCTTCAAAATAAAAGTATTTGATAAAGAACTGGGTCACTGACTTTTACTTCCTGTTTCTCTCTGGACTTTTTCTTGTGATTCAGGTGAAGAGACGAAGGTGAAACCTGG